AAAATGATTTCGAAACGTACCTGTGCAGTCTGCTGACCACAGCCATAAGCGACGCAGCAGAGTCCAGGAAGAGGCTCGTCACAGCAAAATTGAGATGTCGGCTGGAACATAAACACAACACGATTAGTTCATGTGTAGTCACAAAACAATCAAAATAAGACGAGTGAAATTACCTGGAACAGTAGATCGGTAGTCCCATAAAGTCAAACTGCGGCAAGGGCGGCGGCGGCAGCGTCACGCAGTCCGTAGTCCTTCCCCGCGACTGCGTGCGAGACGCACAAGGCGGCGGGCTCGAGCAGACAGCTCGCTCGCAGCGTCCGAGTCGAGACGAAGGCAAACAGCAGCGGGGGCTAGGCTAGCGATAGGACAATTATAGGAAATTGGGCTCAAAACAAAGCAGAACGACATTCCAATGGGACACACGACTGACCTTGAGGGAAGAATGTTCTCCAAAGTCTTCGTTAAGTTATGCAATTTAGAATAGGATATAATAAATCGCGGTTGATAAAACATTAATTGATTTCGCGGTTGAGTAAATCTTTAAATTAAATGATATCGCGGTTGATAAAATCCAATTTAACTTCCGATCCCGACGTGAGCGAAAATGATCAGTTGTTTAACATCGATGAGCGCGGAAAATGAACGCGGACTGCAGCAAAACGGCGCGAAAGGACTTGAGAGCATTGTTCCACCATGCCAATGCAGCAATGCAGTCATTAATGAGCTTTGTTGTGTGTTGGAGATGAGTACCCTTTGTAAGTTGTAGCCCCCTAGTAAAGTTCAAATCGCTAAGTAGACCTGAAACATTATATAAAGACTGCCGTACTGGGCTGCGAGGTGGAGCTCTGCACAAGTGGAGCGACCAAACAAGAAGCGTTTGTACACAAACTCCGGCGAACGACGAGGCCTACCTTTGGCAGCGGCAGCTGCGAACGCCGCCGCCTCAGCGCTCGCCCAGGTGGATGGGGTGGGAGTCGGCGGCCGGAGGACACGTCGTGGGCTCCTCTTGCTGGCGATGCACACGAGGGGACACGCAAACCGAAGGGGCCGGGCGCGGACCACGAGTTTCGCGAAAGAATGCTTTGGGCGTAGCAGTGTCAGACTGCGCGGGGCACAGAGGTCATTCCCTGCGCGAGCTCTACGCGGGCGCGTGGGCGCTAGCTAGGGACACATCGGTGCCGACCAAACAGGCTCGGAGTAGAAGACGTTTGGATGCCGAGCGAGGCCCACAGACCTGCAGGGCGATCCCGCACGTTGTTTACGCGTGCCCTCTCCCTCCCGGTGGCAGCGAGTGCGACAAGGACGGAGAGAACAAAACAAAACAACCGTGCGCAACCACCCTCCCTGGCGCAGACGACGGTCAGGCAGCCCGGTTATATCGCTCACCATATATCGCATCCGCGCCAGGCGAGCCGGGGCAGCACCAGGCACACAAACGACTTCTACCTCCAGTCAAAAGGGTCAAAATAAGACCTGCCGCGGAGGCGGGGCGCGGGGCGCACAGCGACAAGTCAGCCACACGGGGCTGCACGACTAGGCGATCGCCTTACTCCCGATCAAAACAGATTGAAACGCCTTATTTACCTCACTTGTTCGTCCCAGAACCGGAGATTAACCAGCAAACCTGAGGTGAAAAGGTGAGCCAAAGAACATCAGCGAAAGTCGGAAACCCGAGGAGCGCATGGGCCACGGCGGGGCGGGCAGCCGTGTGGCGAACGGCGAGAGGTGGCATATTGCGGGTCAACAACAGAACAGTCAAGCAGACACACGAGGCCGCAAGACTTCGCGATCACTTTCACTTCCGTTCAACACCGGTTGTTGAAATGCCCTTTCGACATCCCTTGTTCACCCCAGCGCCAGAGGTAGACCAGCAAATCTGAGGTGAAAAAGTGACCTAAGGCAACATACAGTCGGAATCAAAACAACGGGCGCAAGGGAATCGCGGGGGCCGCGGGGGCGGACTTGACGGCGAGCTGATGTGATGTGATGCGATGTGATGCGATGCGATGGAGCAAGCTAAGCGCGGCGCGACCCACACTCGCAGGACGGACGGATCGCGAAGCCTTGATCTTGAACTCTTCTAGGGCCGGCTGCCGGCTGGCTCCCACACCCACGAGCCAGGTCGGACCGAGGGCTCGAACCGAATGAGCGATAAGCGGCCGGCAGCTCCAGCAGGCAGAGGCGAGGAGGGGAGGAGGGGAGGGTGGGGGAGACAGCGGAGTGGGGGGATAGGGCTTCTTAATATTTAACCTACTAACAGTGACATTGACCTCTTCACTTCAACTTCAACGAGGGTTTTAACGACTGATGGAGAGAAAATATTAGACATCAACAATCATGACCGGTTCGGCGAAAGAGTTGCTAAGTCAACCAAACAGTAAAATGGCGTGGCATCTTTACGCAACGTACTTAATTACTTTATTCTGAGTTCCTAAAATAATTACAAGGCAAATAAACTTCAACAAAATTATTC